AAGCTTACCTAATCAAAGCTTGCGATTGCTTATGGAGTGGCCCGAGAGGGGTGGGGAGGCTATTTCTGTGGCCGTGAAACCGTTTTGAATGTTAGGCATACTGTTCATTGTTGATTACGAACGTCTTTTTACATTTAATTTAAGAGGTTAACGTTTATGGATGAATTTGACAGCGACAATGTTTCAAAATTAGGAAGGGAAGCAGTGATTATTTGATTATATAGACGCTTCGCCCCAGGTTATGATAATAATTATATTTGTTTGTTTAGTATAGGGTTTTACGGCGCTCGCAACTGCATAAGGTCATATGAGCGCGCGGGACACACCTAATACTTTTTAGTTGGTAGAAAATTTTGAATTTTGCCCGGGTGGCGGCCGAAGCCTACTCTTATCGATTTTAGACCACCAAGGGATCTTTAACGTGCGCAACTTGCACACGGGCCCTCCGAGATTTTTCGCCCTTGTCCGAGAAGGCTAGGTGTAGATCTTTCCTACCAGAAGATCAGGGGTGTGGCAGAAAGACAGCAGTTAGGAGGAGCCAAGGAGTAGCAGTAGAAAGGCTGCAGAAAGAGTCAGGAGCCCAGAGGAGGTGGCAAAGGAGGTGAGGGGGTGGGGACAGAAAGTGGAAATGAAAGCAGACAACAGAACATTGCTAGAGATCAGGAAAGGATGTGAAAGGAGACAATTTTAGAGAAGAAAATTTGTTGGTCGCTACCCGGAATCGAACCCGGGACCTTTGAATGAGAGGCCAACACCTTACCTCTAGGCCACGAGAGCCCCCTAATAATTATAATAACAATAATAACAATAATAGTAATAGCAATAGTAATAATAATGATGATAATAATAATAATAATAAAATAATAATAATAATAGTCATCATCATCATCAGCATCATTATTAAAATCATTATACATAGACTTCACATCTTCTTGTGTCAATAAATTATTCTCAAAACTGCACTGGAGATTAGTCTACTGCCAACTTCTTGAGAAATTCAATTCAAGGGACATTACCCGCCGTTTTAGTTTGGTGCCATCATCTAACTAACGATTATGTCCCTTCAAGAAAAAGGGCGACAAAAATAATAATATTATTATTATAATTAAAAAAATCGTGGCTACACAGACTTCTCCCCAAATATCAGATCTCTTTAACAGACGAATAACTGTCACCCATACTTTGCTCAGCAGTTTGTATCAGTTTGTCTTAACTTAAGCAACAACTTGTCTTAATGAATTTGCTTACGCATAATTATTATGCTTAGGTCAAAGCTTACTTTTTTGTGGCAAAACTTGTTACTAGAAATTCAATTTATAGTGAACACAATTAAAAAAAAAAAAAGAAAGATTCTCATAACATGCGTTCAATAAAGATAGTGTCGCAATTTTTAAAAAAAATGACAGAATTGCTTTTAAATGTGATGAAGCCCCAGCTGTAAAAACCGTTAAAAATCTACAGAAACATCCGACTTGTATGATTTAATAGTAGATCACAGGTGTTTAAAAAAAATATTGATATGTTAAGACAAATTGACACAAGTCATTGTGCGAAAAGCTGGAGAATATTTGACAATAAGTTACGCCATGAATATTTGACCGCACTATACATATTGTATTAAGATTTTATCTATTTACGATGTACCCATTATAAGTTAAGAATGAATCTCAAACGATGACAAAGAAAAGTGCGTCTACTGTGACCCTTACTTTTAACGACACGACTTTTAAAAATATTAACATGATACAACATCGTAAGTGTAAGTGTAACAACAGTGCTTGCCAACCTGCGCGCTATCACCTACTAGACTAGATCTAGTAAGGAAATTTTCATTTTGGTGGGCGGTGGGGATCACCAAAGTAGTAGCGTGCATTATTTGTGAGACATCGTGGTGAAATCAGGCGCTAGTCAAAATAATGAAATCATAGATGCTCCATAATAATTATGCATCCAAATGTAAAAATGGCGCTTTTAAACGCTCAAAATGTAGCAAAACATTCTCTGCCAGAACCCGTCTTATTGGCCATAGCACAGGCCACAAATTATTTTATTCCTTTTTTCTTCTAGAGAAGTTTTCTTTTGACCCGGCGAATACATTGATGGAGGAATAGTTATTAGTGTAATAACTGTTATTATTATTATTGTTATTATTATTATTATTATTATTATTTTTTTTTTTCTTCACTGTTGTTATTATTGTTATGATAATAATTATAATAACAATAATAACAATAACAATAATAGTAATAGTAATAATAATGATGATAATAATAATAATAATAATAATAATAATAATAATAATAATAATAATAATAATAATAATAGTCATCATCATCATCAGCATCATTATTAATATCATTATACATAGACTTCACATCTTCTTGTGTCAATAAATTATTTTCAAAACTGCGCAGGAGATCAGTCTACTGCCTACTTCTTGAGAAATTCAATTCAAGGGACATTACCCGCCGTTTTAGTTTGGTGCCATCATCTAACTAACGATTATGTCCCTTCAAGAAAAAGGGTGACAAAAATAATAATATTATTATTATAATAAAAAAATCGTGGCTACACAGACTTCTCCCCAAATATCAGATCTCTTTAACAGATGAATCACTGTCACCCATGCTTTGCTCAGCAGTTTGTATCAGTTTGTCATAACTTAATCAACAACTTGTCTTAATGAATTTGCTTACGCATAATTATTATGCTTAGGTCAAAGCTTACTTTTTTGTGGCAAAACTTGTTACTAGAAATTCAATTTATAGTGAACACAATTAAAAAAAAAAAAAGAAAGATTCTCATAACATGCGTTCAATAAAGATAGTGTCGCAATTTTTAAAAAAAATGACAGAATTGCTTTTAAATGTGATGAAGCCCCAGCTGTAAAAACCGTTAAAAATCTACAGAAACATCCGACTTGTATGATTTAATAGTAGATCACAGGTGTTTAAAAAAAATATTGATATGTTAAGACAAATTGACACAAGTCATTGTGCGAAAAGCTGGAGAATATTTGACAATAAGTTACGCCATGAATATTTGACCGCACTATACATATTGTATTAAGATTTTATCTATTTACGATGTACCCATTATAAGTTAAGAATGAATCTCAAACGATGACAAAGAAAAGTGCGTCTACTGTGACCCTTACTTTTAACGACACGACTTTTAAAAATATTAACATGATACAACATCGTAAGTGTAAGTGTAACAACAGTGCTTGCCAACCTGCGCGCTATCACCTGCTAGACTAGATCTAGTAAGGAAATTTTCATTTTGGTGGGCGGTGGGGATCACCAAAGTAGTAGCGTGCATTATTTGTGAGACATCGTGGTGAAATCAGGCGCTAGTCAAAATAATGAAATCATAGATGCTCCATAATAATTATACATCCAAATGTAAAAATGGCGCTTTTAAACGCTCAAAATGTAGCAAAACAT